CCACTTTGAAGAATTTAGGAGCCAAATGGCTATCAGAAAAAAAAATTAATTTCAAGCCCTGCAATGTGATTCATGAGAAACTGCTGGCCAATGAATTGGACAAAGTAAGATACAAGAGTTTATTTTGTTGCTTTGAAGAGGGACTTACAGGACACCTAACTAAATGGTTCCCTATTTCAGGTTTGTGTTCCTGGACTTCACAGCAGCTAAGATGTGTTTAAGAAACTGTTTGATGAACTAGAGAACCAGTGCTTTGAGCTGGACAAAAAAATTCAAATGGCACTAGCAGGAGACAGTGAAGAGAATGATGAAAAGTTCCAGGCATTCAGAGCTGCCCAACTACAATTTACAAGAACAGCACAACAATTTAATGAAAAAGGCAATTATTTACAGGAGTTGCTGAATTTACAAAGTCTGCATCCTAATGTATATAATGCCTGCCTACTTTACACTACTACAGGAGGAGATAGAAAAACTCCTTGGAAATGCAAAGGAGGAGGTAACAATAACGTATTTGTGCTTTCCAGTATCACAGCTGTACAGTTCTCCAATTCCATTGCACATGTTTCAAACCCATCTTAATTTTTTTAGTTAAATAAGTTCTGATTTTGTTTTATAGATCATTTATTTGTAATATTACACTGGCTCAAATTTTCAAATTATAGCTACTAAACAGTAGGTCAGATAACCCAGATTTAAATAGTATTATCTAAACATTATAGGAAAAGCTTGCAAATGAACAAATGGAATTGGCTGCCTTTGAGAAAGCCAATGGACCACTTCCAGTTCATTTGGATGAGGTTCTCAAGAAAATGAATGTTGAGAGACAAGCTTACCATGGAAAATCATTCATTGGTAACCATGTGCACACTTGCGGCAAGGTAGCACAAATTCTACCCTTAGAATAGGAATTTGTTGAGTCACAAAATTCTATTGAATTTTTTTTTTTGGTAGGAAGACAACATCATTAAACTATGCAGTGCTGTGGTGACAAAAACAGTGGAGCTGTGTCCTTCCTTCCTTTCTCAAGCAAGAGAAATTAGCGTGAAATTCAAACAAGTTTTCTAGTTATTTGCTGCTTGCCACTTTGTCTATGACAGTGCAGACTATCTCAATGATAGCAACATTGATAAGCTAGGTAAGCGAAAGAAAAAACTTGACTTTCATGGAAAACATGAATACAGTAATAAAATCATGTCTTAAGTCCACCTTTTCTGTAACAAGCCAGAACGGGCAATGTAGAGGAGAACACATACAAAACCAAGATGTCGGACCAACAAGATATATTTAATATAAGAAGACAGATGTCGTCAGCGGACCACGAGGTCGTGACAGTGTCACGCAATATTGTTACATTTTCTTGTTTTCTTGTTGCAGAGGAAGACATCACAGATTTTCCTCAGTTCATTGGGGAAAAATTCCCAGACATGACAGTTACACCAAAGCTGCATATGCTAGAAGAACATGTTTGCCCTTTTCTTCGACAATGGCACATGGGCCTTGGATTCTATGGTGAACAGGGGATTGAAGGAATACACTCTGAATTCAATACCCAGTCCCAGCATTTTGACCATGTGAAGGAAAAGGATACGAGATTGCTTCAAATTCTTGTTAACCACCACATTGCCACGAGTCCGGAACTAGCAGGGAAAGCTCCCAAACCTAAAGAAAGAAATTTAAAACGAAAAGCGAACGAGTAAAACTCTTTCCTTTTTACTAGCAATGTAACGGTTCGTTGACCAAGAACGAGTACTATGTGTGTAAATCTAGTGTAATTTATTTACTCAAGTTCAAATTTAGACGAATAAAAGTGTTACCGCACTCTTTGAAATCAAAACTAAACCTTTCCAGTCGTTTATAGTTACGCTGCAAGTGTGAGGAAAGAGTGACTCTTTTCTCAGTCGAAAGAATCGCTGCTAGAAACAACTACCTTTAATTTAAGTGACTTAACCTCCGGCAGCCGGACTTAATAAATTCGCAGCACCGTTCGCAAAGAGACCGAAGGTTGAAGGCGAACAATCCTTTTGGCCCAGGTACATTAAGATAGTGCACTTGGTTCTCTGCGAGAGCTTTAACGGGCGGTACAATAGATATAGTGACCGGTTTCTTCTAAAGATGAGAGGTGATCGATCGCTGGCGCTCCTTGATATATATTCAAGATTTTTTATAACCAGTTGGTAACGAAATGGAGTAATCCTTACCTTACAAAGTCATATCTATGGTTTTCTACTGTTCTTCTTGAAATGTCTATTCCAAAAGTCACGCAAACTTGCCTTAAAACTTTGTTGTACATCGCTGTTGTCTGAAAAGTTGACCATGAAAGAGTTTTGTTCACCGTCTGGTTCGTTAGTTTGAAAATAAATTACCAACTCTAGCCAATCAGAATTGACAAAAGAATCGCAAGAGAGGTTAACCAACAAAAAGTCATTATACATTTTCTTACAAAAGAGTAACGTCACGGAACACGATTAGTGTCAGGTTTGGGTAAACGTTACCTCGCCTCCGTTTCACCTTTTTTTGGGGGGGGGGGCGGAAGGGGAGGGGCTACACGTAGGCTAAGTCAGTGGTCACCAAAACGCTTTTCCACATAGGCAATCGAATTAAGAAAAAGCACTGCGTGTCAATGTTTGCGCAACATTGACGTGCTGTTTGAACTGTTAGGTTTGCAGAAACAAAAAGGCTTTGATATACTAACGTACGCGCATGTAATATCTTATACTTGTCTAAACTGGCATTGATTGACGATGCTCGGAATAAAAATAACCTTATCACGTGAAGGCGTTGTTTTGATTGTAGTAGGAATGTTTGAAAAGAATATTTCGATATTTCTCCGCTCTGATTCTCAATCAAAGCTAATGTGGTAAAACAGGAGTCAGTTAAACAAGCGTCATAAACGTTACGGTTTAAAGAATTAGAATGAGTCTACTCATTATAAGATGTGATAGAACTCTCATTTAAATTGCGTTTGGCTTCGAATTAATTGTATCTTACTACCTCAACATATTTTGAATGTGATCTTTAAATAAGGTTGACATTTATGTTGTGATCCACGGACTACATACTGGAGGACTATTGAAAGCCAAAATGTTCTTGCTCGATATAATTTCTCTTAGGCCAAATCCCACGATGATCCAAACAAAGATACGCATCACTGATATTCAAGCAGACCACAAAGAGTGTCTATTTCGGTGACCTCTCATAAAGAGAGTGAAACGCGGTTATTCCCTCATTCTTGCACACTCCGGTAAAATAATCTGCATGTAGACGTCTCCAAAATGTTTTACTTTGTTTAGTTCACGCGGAACATAGGTGAACATTGATGTTCACAGTTTGAAAGAGGCCTGTCACCTGTCACAATTAATTCCTGTCACCTAGACAAAGCGCTTTTATCCTTTATCAAGCAGGAAAATTTTCCGGACAAAGGCTTCTCAAGCACAGTTGCACGTACGCGCATTCCAGCGTCAGTTGCCCTCGCGCGGTGAAATCGATATTGCAGTTAAAAGCAGAAACATTCAACAGGAGTATATCATTTACGTGCAAAACGAGCCGCGAACTACTTGCAACATAATCATGAGCTCCAAACCTTGCCGTGTTGCTCAATGGACTCCTTCT